ATGATGACACTTATCCCATATTTTCAGGGTTCTACCCTTATGTCCTTATTTAGCCATAATTACCTCCTTATAGGCCCAAATACAGTCTCCAAATACAGTCACATTTTGGGTTAGGGTTTCAACATATGAATTTGGGGGGAGGAAGACAAATAATTCCATAGCACTCATTTTGTAAATAACTTAAACATGTAAAGATTTGTCCCATTGTTGGTATCTGTCATAGCTCCTTGTTTATTTTTTTTAAAGCTTTAGTATACTTTTTTAGTTTTACAGTTTTATCTGTCCTTCCAGAGGAATCCTCTAGTCGTGCTGTTTCCTACCATCTCTGTGATTAGGGTAACACTCCTGGTTTCCGTCTTCTTTCTCCCTCTCTCTTCCCCTTGATTGGTAAGCTGAAAGGAGAAATTGGGCATGGGTCCCCTTCTCTTCCCGAGCATGCCTGCCTTCAGATAGCAGTCATTTTTTGCGCTACTCTCTACACTAAGTACAGCCTGCCAGGTGTGTGTGCTGGTTACAGCTGGGGACTGTTTAGATTGGTAGGTACAGGTCATAAAGTAGTCAATATCTTGCATATTACTCCAGTGTGTGGTGATACCTGACTCAGTTCAGTTCTACATGGGATGCTGTAGATGAATTCATCTCATTTCAGGATTTTTTTTTTTAATTAGGAAGGAAATTTGCCTGCTGATTAAAGTCATGTCCTCCAACCTAGCCTCTTATTTCAGTCTTCTATCTGCTTCTTAATTTTATAATGCTTCGGAACCTGGCAAAGAGGATTGCCATTTATTGGTCTTGTTCAAACCCACAATATACGATGCATGGGCTATGAATATAAGGAATAAAACAGAACAGTGGAATTTGGATGAGCAATATAAACATGCCATTTATATGTTTTTGTGTACACACGTGTATATATAGACATACATTTTTTAAAATGGGTTATATATTCACATGATTCAAAACATTAAAAGAAGGAGGTATATACTAAAACAAAATTATGTCCTAAGTGAACTGTATTCCTAGATTTTATAGATTTTTAGAAAAAAGTATTTGTTTTACCTTGTCTTTAAAATTCATCATTGTTTCCACAACTATTTATAATTATCTTTTCAATGTAAATTAGATAATAGCATTACAAAAAATTGAAAAGAAGAAAAGCCACTGGTCATCTCACAATGCTAATCCAATGACTCTCTTTTTATCTCTAGTTCTTGTTGTGTAGGTTTTATGCGTTGCTATCTATGTTCATTGTACTTTTACTTCCTCTAAGTACCTAAATTTCACCTTGTAAAGACTATGTTAAATCAGATGTTTCCATTCTTAGGAAAAGTTCATTTAAACATTTCCGATTAATTTTGAGGAATTCACTTTTGAAAAACATTTTTTTCAGAACCTGGGCATTATAGGCGTCTGGGAATATCTGACCTGGCTTACTTGCAAAAATGTTTTTCTTGGTGTTGGCTGCACAAGATATGTAGAGGGTTTTATTACTAATACCAGTTGAAAAAATCGAAAAGTGCAAAACTAGATTGGGATCGACAAACTTTTTTCTGTTACATCCCAGACGGTAGGAGTCCCAGCAAGACTGCTGTCAGGGGGCTGAGTGAGGAGGCTGCCTAATGAGTCGGGATGTGTTTGAAATGCAACTCGGGTGCCGGGCCAGCTTCTCCACGCGCTGCCATAGAGGAGGCCGCATCTTTACACAAACAGGCCCACCCTATGGGAAAGAAAGAGCACCACAAAATGCTAGATGGGCTGCAAGACAGCTTTGCAGGGAGGCGGCCATGTCGAGTGTGGTGGGCGGCATAGCTTGGCAACGGGGTCAGGTTGTAAGTCTTCTGGCTTTCAGAGGTCTTCGGGTGCCAGAAGTGAATTCTGGAGGGTGGGAAATATCCATTTCTAGGATGGCTGCAGGGATCCAAGTCTTGACCAAGAACGGGGATGGGGCAGGTGAGGGGCGATGTGCAGGAGGAAGCTGGGGACTGAGAGCTAAAGAATGGAGCATGGCCCTCAGGACGGAGGGGGCTGATGTCCAAGGCACAAAGACAGTTTGGATCCAAGTTCTGGTTACACTGCCCTGAACATCTTATTTTTACTAGCCACAAGTGACAGGAAAGCTACACTAACGGCCCAAATGCCGTCAAGGAGTGGGGAAGCAAGAGCTGACAGGGCGCCCAAAGGCCATGGTGTGAGAAGCAGGAACCTCTTTCTTTACTGACCTACAAGGCCAGCCCATTGAACTGCATTGCTGGGTTGGATCCATAGAATTAAGAATTGAAAGCCTGCTAAGTGCCGGGCCCTGAGAATTAAATGATGGATAAAACCAAGTCCCACACAGCACAAGGCCCATACCCAAGAACCTGGCCCGGGTAAAAATTACAGGAAAATAGACCAAATGTGATGGAAAGGAGGCAGTTCTATTGGAATCATTACTTAGAACTCTTGATATCAAGTCGTTTTCTTGCTATTTATTAGATTTTCTTAAAAGCAGAATGGAAGATGGTTGGAAAAATTTTAATGGTTTCATTAGGTCAGGTTACTTGAAGTTTTCTTGGAACTTCCACTGAAGATGGCAACCATATGTTTTCAAATTTTTACAATAAGGTTTAGACCAGATTTACTAAAATAGTTTCACGGAAATTTTTAAATGTCGAAAGTGGTTTCTAAGGAAAATATAATTTAAGTTTAAACTTTAGTATACTTCCCAGATAAACTGGGGAATTTATCTGCCTACTTTACTCAAATATTGACTTTTAAGGTAACCTATCATTTTTAGCAAGAGAGGTGGAAGTCTAACTCAGGTATGGCATTTTCTTTCTGACTCAAATGGTGTAGGGCACGCAATGGATTTCTTCCTCTGCCTAGTTATTCAAGGATAGATCTTGTGATCTAAAAAGGAACAACGTGCTGTTGTATGCACGGTAAGGGGATTAACAGTCTTGTGCTTGTAAAACAGCGGCCCCGCTCCTAGTTAGTCCTTTTGATTTCCAGAAACAAGAGCCCTTTTCTTACCGCCCACTGGATGCCGTTTTGCCCTGTCCGGCGCC